CATTCAGAGAGATTCCATGTTCTACACTGTCGGGCTCAATGAATGGAGACTACATTTTAGTTGCAAAATTAGTTTAGTTGCAAAATTTAGTTTAGTTGCAAAATTACATTATTTTTCAGAAATACTCTTTCTGGGGGCCTTTGGGTCAGAGTAAATTTGAAAAGATGAAAAAACAAAAGCCCATCCATGCAGCCACCAGTCTTCAATCTTGTGGAGAAGGCAGATGCGTAAAGAGATCGATTTACCTCCATTGAATTGAATATAAGTAAATAACAATGCTTTGGATCTAGATGCACACAAGGGCTTGTGTAGAACTTTGCTTAAAAGATTATAGAGCATGGAAAATGCCACCACATGAGCATTCAGGGCTTGGCATGAAGAGAAATAAGGAAAGCCTCCAGGCTGGAGTGAAGAGTCAGCCATTAGCAACTTTGTACAAGGTCAAAGCAGCCTAAGTCCTGACTGGGCTGCGTGCTGGGAGCCACACAAGGTGAACTTGACAGGCAGGGGAAAGCTCAACCACCTGAAATCCAGCTGGGGGAGCCTGCTCCTCAGATGGTGGAGGCCTGGGGGCTGGCTCTGTGGGCTGGTGGTGGAGGGGTGGGGTGAGTGCTGTTCAGAATAAATATTTTCCAAGATGATGGTATTGGTAGTTTTTGATATTACATGAACTCTTGCTCCTGAAATTCCATGTTTATGGTTAATGTGTGACCTTACTTAGTTGCAGAGGAGAAATTTTATTCTTTATTCATTTAGACCTATGTAATTCTGTGGTTCTCAAAGCACAGTTCAGAGACTGCTGGATGTCCCCAAGATGCTTTTACAGAGACAGTACTCTTTTAATCAAATGAGGAGGTACAGGGGAAAGAAGTGGATGAAGGCATGTTATGTGCATGTGTGCATGTGTCACCACAAACCCACCTTTCTGCATAATTATTATACATCAATACAAAGCCAAACACTCATTTTATTTTGCCAGGTCCCTTTCATTGTCTTGTAAGTATTTTGCAAAGTTTCCAGAGGATGTGAGACATAACAATATGTCAACCAAGAATCATATATGAGAATCTAACTGTGTACTAGTGAGGTTTATATAAATGAGGCCTGCAAAAATCTAAACAATTGTACACTTGTCRGGAACTAGAAGGAAATTCTCCTTCAAAGATTAGCCTGACAGCCCCCTGGGAGACATCCTGCCCGGAAGACATCCTGCAGCTACCTATCTCCCTGGAACATCCTGTGGTTATCAGGATCATCAGACATCTTGCAGCTGGCAGTTTTACCCACCCACATCCAGCAATTGCGGAGACCTTCCCCATCCCCAGCATATAAATACCCCTGTGTGAACAATAAAAGTTTGCAGCTTGATCAGAACTTTTGTCTTGCTGTCACCTTTCGTGTCTATTGTCCCTTCATTCCTCCCCATCTAGGTTCGCTGCCCACGTTGATGTGTCCTGCTGGTAGGGACATACACTTAACACACATTGTGTTGTTGTTTGGGACCATATAACTATTTTTACAAATAGATGCAATTTTATTCAAAGCATCAATTTATTATTCTTATGCTTAAAGGAATATTTACTCATTTTTCCATTTTAATTTGGAATGCACTACATATTGACAGACATAACCGATGTAAACAAAAGCAGGTTGATTCTTCAATGACTTTTAAGAACATCAGGGGTTCTGAAGACCAAGAATTATGAAAGTTTTTAATGGATATGGAGACATATTATGCCTATTTGTGTAAGTGCATATGTCTGGATAACACAAATAACTTTCCTCTTCATAGTTCTCACACTCAATGTTCAGTATTCACAAGAAGCAAGAAGGGGTGACAGGAGGTAAAAGTTGATATGAGAGTATCCCAAGAAGGCCTTTTGTAAAGGAACACCTGTGCAGGGAGACTTGTGGAGGAGGTAGGTGCACAAAGGACAGACACAGACACACGGGGAAGGTGCAGACAGAYAGAAGGATGGCAGACAAAAGAATGCTCACCCCTCTCTGCCATCGACTTTATTAACCCAAAARGTCACATATCACCCACCACCAGTGACTACACTTTAACCATCTTCCTTTCACCCTGAGTGCTAGCTGAGATAAGGTCCAGGTTAATGCAAACCCAGAGCCTCTCTCCTTCAGAGGGTGTCACTATGTAAACCAGGTGGTGCATCCACCTAGTTATCTTCAGAGCCTCTCCTTCCGCTCATGGGAATCAGGGCGCCAGTTACCCACCAGGAGTTTGCTCACCAGGGGAACGCTTCCCTGTCTATTTCCAAGGTCAGAAATACCTACAACCTTTCCAAAGGGACATTGGAGGAAAGCCAAGGAAGGAAGAGATATTGAAGGAGAGTAAAAAGGGGTTTAAGAAAACCTCTAGCCCGCTACCCGCGCTGGCTTCATGAAAGAAGGTTTGATTCATGAGAAAACACTTGGGAGTTTTAAATTAAAGAGACAAGATTCTAATTACCTTTAAAACCAGCTCCAGGATGGCTCTTCCCAGCTCCAKCCTCCAGCCACCTAATGCGGTAGCAAGGTTTAKAGAAGAGACTAGTGAGAGAGAGAAGACATGCCAGGGAGTGGGCTTTTATTGGGGAACAAAAAATTCTGGGGAAAATCCATCCAATGAAGATTAATGGGGGCAGCATCCCAAGGTCAGGGGCGACAATTGGGTCTTCGGGACAGTGGCCAGACACGCCTCTGCACGGACAAGCCCTCGGACCTGGAGAAGGGTGGGGAAAGCTGTGTCTGAGCGCCTCTCACCCAGCCAGGGAGGTAACTCAAATCACGTGTGAGGATGGCCTCYCAGAAAAACCTACCGAGCACTGCATATTTCCTTGTGTTAAAATGCAAGTAAAGTTGTTTTAAACACACTTTGGGGTATTGAATCGTGTGCTTTTCACTAAATCTGCTCAGAGACAGGGAAAGTAGGAAATCAGGGTCAATTGCGTGAGGCCTTTCTGAATCTCTGCTCTTGTCCTCAGCACACATGAACGTCTTCTTCTTTCTACCTATTTTTCTATGATCTCAGTGGTTTCCATGCTCGGRATTCATTATTATTACATCTCAGTCCAACAGAGCTTTCCCCTCGGAGGTGATGGACACAAGACGCCCCGGAGTTTCCAGGGGGCCAGGGGAATTGGTTCCCCAGGGTGTAGGGAATAGGGGCGTGCCCTGGGGAGACTGTAAATCAAAACATTGGTAAAACACATCTGCTTTCTCTTGTAACCATGGGCTGGATTTTCTAAATAACATCAGTGATAMTATATCTCCCCCCTGGAGAAAATATAGGTCTGTCTTGTATAATTGTGACCATGACCCTGAGCTGAAGCAGGCCCCTCCTGGCCCTCAGTCCTGCTATGGTCCTGGCCCACGAAGCCACTCAGGATCCCAGCATCCTGTCATGAGTGGCTCCCGACACCGAGTGCCTGAGGACCAGGGAAACGCTGCATGACGTGTCCAAAGAAAGAGGCGGCAGAGAGGAAGGAGGTTCTATGTGTCACATCTGGACATGATGTTTGTCACCTCCCTGACTTCTWTTAGCTCTCAGAACTCACCCACCACCTGGCCACAACCCCTGGATACTATGGTCTCCAGTATATGCACAAGTAAAGAGCCCTCTAGATTCTATTTTTATTGTGTTGGGTGTCTGGAGCACACATTATTGGAAACTGCTGACCTGCGTGAGCTCACACTTCATTTCATCTCTCAGGATGTCCTCAGCAGGAACCTGAAAACACCTTGGTGACAATGACCCTTCCCAGGCGATTGGCAGCCTATTCCCTTATTCTGGGAAAAGTGGCCGAATTCAGGTGCCACTTCTACCTCCATCAGATGCAGCATTTGCCTAATCCATGCACGTGTGTTAAAGTGGAGGCAGAACGCCTGGACACAGGCCTCCATCTCTTCCACCCCAGCTGGCCCCTCCTCTTCCTGCGGCTGTTCCTGAGCTCTGTGTGGGAGGGAGSAGCACCCTCTCCACGGAGTCCTTCCTGTCCTCCTCTTTCTGAACCATAAGCCACAGAAGCAGGGCTCCAGGTGGAYGTGAGGACAGTGGTGGCTACGGGAGTCTGAGCAGGAGCTGAGCTCAGAATCGAACAGCCTGTCTGTACTGGTCATTAGATAAAATAGTCATTGCCRTACCCTTTTGTTTTTTGTGTTGAACACTCCATCGTCCATGCTGTTGCATAACCGTGGTCCACCCTGTTTCATGAGAACTCAGTGAAAAGGCTCAAGTTTTCCTAAACCTGGTTCCTTAGAAGTCTATTTAAAATTCCTTAAGTATATAGAAAAGGGTCAGATGGTATTTTTCTGGGTCGTGTCACAAAATGTTTAGGAATTACACTTTTTTTCTCTTGGTTTTTTTTGCAGAGAAGAGTCTTGTGCATTCTTTTTATCACCCCCATATTTTATAGACGTATTCCCTTGATCTCGTACCCTAACCATTCCTATCTGCCTGTCCTCTGTCAGTGAGAAGGCAGGAAAAGCCCTTCCCCAGGGACAGACCCCATACTCGGGCAGATAGTTAGGAACAAAGCACTTTTCAGAAGTGTCAACCCACAGACAGGAGATCTTCATGAATCATGTATGAATCAATTGTGTATGAGTGTGTGGGCGCATGCCTGAGAGTGCTCAGGTGTATGTGTGCAGAGTGTTTCTTTGAATAACCTCATATTTTTAAAATTTATTCTATTTAGTTATATACAGCACCCGATAGAAGCTGACGTAATCAAAAGCATGGAACACAACCCACTCCAATTCAGTCTCCATCCTAGTGTGCGCCCTGCTCCACTCCAGCCAGAAAACCTCCCATGTTAAGTGAGAACAAAAAGAAGCTTTATATTTGCAGGAAAGTTTATTGAAATGAAATTGCATTTAAGATTTCAATGAGTGTCTTGCCATCACAGGTACAGGGATGAAAATAGGAAAGAACAGAAGAGCATCGGTGGTTGCTTTATCACGTCTTCAGTAGTTCTCTGAGCCAAAGGACTGGTGGAAACTTAGAAAGCTCTGCAGTATTTACTGCCATAGATTGATTCCTGGAAAAAAAGGGCAGGGACTTCAATTAGCTTTTCAACTCTGTCCTGCAAAGTCAAATACTCAAAACCAAAACATCCACTTGTTATTTACCTTAGTTTCTCAAGAACCATCAAGCCTTTCATAAAATCCAGGAAGCAAGACGAGAGTACCTGTTCGTGTGCTCTATTGTTCAGGAGACACTGATTAATACCAGAGAACTGCTGCTATTTCTGAATCATTTCTCCAAGAGGCGTATTGAACGTTGTTCTTGGAAACAACTTTCCACTAAATGTGCCACAGGTATTATGTGTTGCCGACGCAATTGGATCTGTGCGCACACCACTCTTCCACACTGAACTGTTAAAATCTCTGCTCAGGTAACTCGGGTGACTTTTTGAGTTTCCCTCTGGTCTGAGAAGTGAGAACTACTGAAAAGAAGCTGAGGGCCTCCACTGTTCCTTTGATGCTCYATGAAATGCTGGAGCTCCAGAACGTGAATGCACTTGGTATTCCACCTGCCCTCTGTCTTTTGATATATTCCTACGTTCTCTACCATGCAATGCTTCAAAGAGAATGTTGATATATGAAATAAATGCTAAAAAGCATCAGGAGTTTGTCATTAGAAAGAAACACTCATTGTTTATGTCATTGATTCTTGTTTTAAACAATCCATCCCCCGTGGTGTCTTGTACCTGGGATTTATACTAGTTTTTCTCAGCTGCTAAATAAAAAGTTTCAAAATTTCCACACACCGATGCTAACAAATTTGGTTGCGTAGAAGTGCATTTTAAATAATTAAGAATAGGAACATAAAATATTACTCAAATGTTCTGGAATCCTCCAACAATGCTTATGAATTCATTGGTTTTTTTTTTTCACTATTTGCTCTTTTGCAAGAGGGAACCTGAATTTGTAGATCACTCACAAAGGTGAGGGCATTCTAAGAACCAGATTTTTTTCTTTTTTAGAAAGTGTGTGTGTGTGTGTGTGTGTGTGTATATGTGTGTGTGTGTGTGTGTATCTTGAGTAACTGAAAGGTACATAAGCAATCTCTGAGGTTGTTTTTGCATTTTCTTGTTATCAGTTCCTGACGATTGTCAAAGAAAGTTGGTAAATTATCTTTCAGATTTTGAATGGTTTTCTTGAAGGTCAAAGATTCATTAACACCCCTTAAATACATAGTATTTTTTTAAAAAGCACAGCGCCAACAGCTTTGATATTATTAAAATAACAAGATCAGAGACTGCTGTTCCCAGTGATTTCACAAACCTAGAACCCCAACTTACCATCATCAGTTGAACGTTGCTCAGAGTTTCATCGGACTGGTTGAGGAAGCATTGTTTGAATTGCTCCACGGCCTTTCTGTCGGCATCACTGTGCAAAAACTCCTGGAGCTCAGCCTTGTATTCTTCTAGGTTTACTCCAGGGTCAATGGCCTTTGAAATAACGTCCTCGAGAAGTTGGCAGCCAGAGCCTGGGAAGAAAACATCAGAACTTGGCTCACGACTGGCGGTGTGACTCCATGAGGGGGAGTACCTGTGAAGTCCGTCATCCGTGAACATCCCAGGAGATACGTGGACTCAGAGAGCTCATGGGGAACAGTCCAGAGCTCCCAGTTCTAGGACAGGGAGTTCCCTACAGGCTCTGAGGTTCCCTACAGGCCCTGCAGCTGCTGCACCCTCCCCTCAGGAACCCCGGAGAAGGCAAACCCTGTGCCAACATGGTTCTCAGTCCTTCAAAGGGGAGATAGTCCAGGGTGTAGCACTTACTGCACAGAGAGCTCTGAATTCAACATCATGCCACGCGACACTAATAGGATTTTCAAGAGTCCTAGAATTGTTGGGTTTAAAATACTTGCCATTACCGTGTTCACTCTATCTCTACTCTGCATCAATAATCAACATAAAAACAACTTGTACATGAAGCTATCTCACGTGGCCAACCTGTGGGGGCAGGGAGAAGCTTAGCACTTGCCTCCACCTGAGCTGCTCGTGCCCTGGGCTCTGCAATTCTTTAGTTTCTTCAGCACATCACCTCTTCCCCATTAGGCCCCCACTTTGGGAACAAGGTAGACCGCATCAACAAGGTTGGAAACTGGAAAAACATACTACACACATCGCGTATGTGTGCCCACCCCATTCTGGGGCACCTGGGAGCTACAGGGCCCCCTGGAAGGGTGAGGCTAGCCCTGCACAGGTCTGCAGTGTAGCTCCAGGTTGCCTGGTGCAGGGTCCCGTGCCTGAGCCTGCCCTCCCGCAGGGCTGCCTTTTCCTTCCATATTTAAGATGATTCGTGATGCCTCTTTCCGAGAACCCACTGGGTCTAATGCCATGGGGCCATGAATCATCTTCCCTTTGTCCCTCTGAAATGTCTAATTGGAATATTCAACACTGAGGCTTTCACTTGTCTTCACTGTCGCTGGGACCAAAGTGGGACAGCTGGACTGGTCCTGGCACACGAGGGCGTACAGCGGGGATAAAGGCCTCGAGAGAGCTGGTTGTCTGGAGTAATGTTGAATTTTGGGGCCATTAAACCCAGACCTTTGTACTAGGGATGACCCGGGGACCAGGACTCCTCCCCAGGGCCCTGGCTCCCCTGCCAGCCCAGAGGCAGCCCTCCCTGCACAGAGCTCACCTGCAGAGCAGTAAAGGGGGAGGGCAGCCAGCAGGAGGACTGCGAGCAGCTTCATGGCGAGGTGGCTCCTGGTGGCTGTTCCYGAGGGGGGGCAGGATCAAGGAGTTCACTGTGGGCTGAGTGGCCACAGCTCCTCTCTTTATTCCCCAGGGAGCTGCCTTAGTCCCTCCCAAGAACGAGGGAGGGAGGGACAGGATCCACCGGGGATTGGACCAGGGAACCGCAGCCTGTGCCAAGGGGAAGCAGCCAGGCTCCGAAGGCTTTGCACAAACCAGCGGGCAGTGAATTTGGAGCCAAGGCCATCTTGAGACTGCAGTGACGACATGTGGCCATAGGCAAGAGGGAGGAGGATGTGTTTTCTAAATGATAAGCAAAATACAACATGCAGTCTTACATCGTCAACCTTAATTGTTCACCCTGGATTTCTCCATCCCTTTTCCTACTCCTTCATCTCCTCTCTTTTCACACGCTGATCTTTGTTTGCTTTATCTTCTTCTTCGAAGGGAGAACCGCTTTATAACTTGTATGCGTGGTCCTGCTCGTATCACACAGCTGGGGTGGCTACAGTCCTGCAGATGTTCAAAACCCCAATGTGATGTGTGATCATACGACAACRTTCAAAGATGCTGAGTAGTGGATGGTACGCAGGCTACAGCACTTCCTGGAGGGCAGGCCCTCTCCTAAGTCTCCTTGACCTTCACCATGGCAACCCTCTGTGTGGGAGCCATGGACCTTATTCTCCAACCTGGGCATTTTAGGAGTTGAACAGAGGCACTAAGTGGATGGGATGCCAGGACTGAAGAGGAGCCTGGACCATCCTGAGCAATCTGGAAGTGTCCCCACCTGCCTTAGGAGGTGGGTGAGTTATTTTCTCTCGGCTTCAGAGAATGATGCACAAAGACATTTAGTAAAATTTCAGGGCTCGATTCGTAATGAGCATAACCAGGACATGAATCCTGAACTGTGAGCTTCAGAGAAGGCTCTTGGTTCTATTTTCCTGCTTCCCTGGACCCTCAGGGACATCCCAGCACAGCTCAGGTGTTCCCCCGAGGCCCTGACTCCACAGCTGCATCCCAGGAACCCTGGGTTAATTTCTGGGCAAGCCCCACAGTTTCCTGCTTGAGGCCTCTGCTGCCTGTGGGCTCCCCTCTGCTGCCTGTGGGCTCCCCTCTGCTCCCTGTGGGCTCCCCTCTGCTGCCTGTGGGCTCCCCTCTGCTGCCTCAGTCACTCAGGGTTGAAGCTCCTCACTCATTGCCACAGCCACAGGGAGGACAGCCCGTGTCTGTGCCCTACCTTGTCTCTGCATCTCGAGGGCCATCCTGGTTCCCAGGACCCCTGGCTCTCCATGAGCAGCTCTCCTCCAACACAGAATTCTCATCACTGACCAATTGTCCCTTTTCTTGCTCCTGAGGACATGACCCTTGTTCTCCTTGGACGACTGACATGGAGAATAAATAATTCTAAATAATTATTTAATAAATAATCACACATGATAGAGTGGTTGACTGTGGGCACACAAGTCAACTCCTTAAGCAAACATCTCACTGATTACATTACAGGCCTCATCACTGTGTTTACAAAGGGGAGCAGAGAAGTTGGTAGTTAAGGCCAGCATCAGGCCTGACTTTAAAGATCAGGACCAATTCCTGGGTCCTGGCTCACCACTGTGTCTGTCCTACATAAAAACGTTTATCCAGGAGGGAGGAAGCATGTGATCTTCTTCTTTGCAGGCGGTGATCAAATCCCTGCCACTCTAGGTCACCTCAGTGTTCTCCCAAGAGGGTCCTTACAATGTGATCTAACCTGCATCCATCTGGGACCAGGACCCAGATTTGGAAGCACAGCCAGAGTGAGTTGCCGGCCACTGACTAACTCTCCTTGGCTGTCCCTCCTCAATCCTAAACTTGGCACACCTTCACATGGCTGGGTAAGGGTGGCTTTAAGTTTCATCCCTGCACCCAGGTGACTTCTGACTTGGTGTGTGGGTCTCCTCCACCAACACCTGCTCCAGTGGTTCCTGTGTTGTTTCCTTGGCAAGCCCAACAGTGTCCTGCTATTGAATTTGTCCACATTTGTGACCCTTTTCTCTTTGGGGGCTTTAAAAGTGGTAAATATGGGGCTGGGGATGTGGCTCAAGCGGTAGCGCGCTCGCCTGGTATGCGTGCGACCCRGGTTCGATCCTCAGCACCACATACCAACAAAGATGTTGTGTCCGCCGAGAACTAAAAAATAAATATTAAAAAATAAATAAATAAAAAAATAAAAGTGGTAAATAGTGAAATTTCCATAAGTCTTTCCTCTGCTAATTAGAGAGTCCCAGATGGGGGTAGTTTTATTTCCCTCATTATCCAAGAAGCCAGTAAGTTTTAGACCTAGAATTTTGTGACTGCATTGACACATGGCTTTAGGTAAAAGGTTTCTGATGGTGTTTTACAAAGAAGAAAACCAACAGTGTGAGCTCCTGTCATCTCTGAACTGATGACTCGTGTGTCTTCTATTCCTGTTGTCGTTTGTCTTCCTCTTTACCTCTTCCTAATCTCTGCCTCTTCCACTTTTTCTCTTCTGTCTTCTCCAGGGTGCAAGAGGTTTATCCCCTCTATGCAAGGGTCAGTGCAATGCTGCAATCATCCTCTGGGGGACAGCCTTCCTTACCCATAGACATCTCTTTTTGAAAGCTGCTTTAAGGTTGAGAGAGGACCTCATATTAGGGAAGTCTTCTTGCGAGGTTTTCATTTAATTGTTTACAGGAATCACCTCACCAATTCAACTCTACAAATTTACTCTATTACAAATCTATGAATTAATTTATTTCTCCTTCTTGGAGATTTAGGATTTTTCTTCTATTGAGTCAAAGGTGTTGCGAGTCAATAGACTGTTGGGCAGACAGTGATGGATGGCAGGTGATGATGGGATTGGGTCTCATGTATTTGTGCTTTTGGATCCACGCCCTGATGTGTCTTCTGTGGGTTACAGCGCTGGTCTCTCTGAGCTTCCTTTTTCTCTTTTGTAAAATGGGAGAGATGATACCGTGCTGAGGTTTTGTAAGAATGCTCTAGGTAAAGCATCCATCCCATGGGCTAGAACAAGATATTCATGACTGAATGGTTACCCTCTAGGTGGATTTTACAACTGATCATCCATGCATCCCATCATATATCCATCCGTTGTGTAGTGCATGCTCCTTTGAACCTCCCCATGACCTTGAGCTATGTGCTATAGATWCATTTGTAGGAACAACTTAGTCCAGGCCTTTCCACTTGGGAGCTGGATTCTACTGAGGAAGACCATGAATATATCTAAGAATAAATGAACGATATGAGAAAATAGTCATTGCTGCAGAGGTTAAAACATAACCAGAAAATCAGAATGAGGTTACAGATGACCTGATGAGGCTCAGTGTCCTTGAAGCATTTCAGGGCACCGTGAGGGAGGAGATGCCATTGTAGGTGAGACTTGACTGAGTGGACACAACATCTGAAGTCAGTCCCTGGGGAGTGACCTAGTCAGAGGGAAGAGCCACTTCAGAGGCCTGAGGGAACATGGTACTTATCCAGGTCAAAAAAGGCAAGGAGACGGGTGTCTTGGAATCAAGAGAAAGGTAACCTCTAATGCTTCAAAGTCCAATCCAGTTCAATTAAGGGCAAAGCAAAGAGGATTGTTAACAAAGGAAATAGAAACTGGCTCTTGTTTTTTAAAAAGAAGTAGAAGAAATGAGTGGAAATGCCAGAAGATGATCCCATTTTTTATTACCCTTGAATGCTTTATTTGCGGTGTGGATTACTTGTGACATTGCTCTTTTCACCATTCAGCTGAGGCATACTGTGCCAAGGGACAAAACTGGCTTAGGYGGTGGCAGGAAGCAGAAGCGTGTGTTTTCTGTATGTACTTTGGGCCAGTTGCACAAGGCTGGAGTCCTTCAATCCAAAGTCGAGCCAAAGACTTTGACAGGCGATGGGACATTGTTATCTCGCCTTGGGCTTGATGGGGCTCCTCCTGGCTCCCCACTTGTCCTGGACCTGCCTTGTCATCTGCTGAGCCAGAGGCCCCATCAGAGATTTCATTCATCCTAAAAATACCCCACATCAGGCTCACCCACTCAAGGGATTGTGTGTTCTTTCACTCCCAGGCTTTATTTGGACATCTGATGGTGATCATTCTCTCAGCAATCAAACAATAGTAACTCAGCCTGTAACAAGAACTGAGAGTCTTCATTTTTCCTGCAAACGTTCAATGGGTAGCTAAATGCGGGCAAAGACTTGGCATTTTGCATCCATCTTTATCTTGGACCCCAGGAACAAGGTCTATGCTGACAAACACCTTGAACTTTTTTACATGACAGTCCTGACCTGACCAATCCTGAGACTGTGAGGGACAGACCACACCTGATCAGCACACCAGCTTGGCAGCCAGGAAAATCACACAGGTGGCAAACCCTCTGCACCTTGCCCTCATTCCCTTACTATGCAACCTTAAGGTCACTGTCACTTCCTGGAAGTACGGGTAAGGGCTTGGGTCCCTTTGTTGTCCTAGCATAGTGAACTGTTCCAGCTGCGTTCATGCTTCTCACCATGCGCTTTTGAAGCCAGAGGCTGGATCTGATTTACTGAATTTCCAGAGTCGGGCTTCTGGCCTGATACTCCTATAACGAGTCACAAAAAGAATCCTTGGCCTATCCGTGTTCACAGGGGAAATGAGTTTAGAACACTTTGTGCTGCTAGTCTGACTTCTTCTCTTTCAAAAAATGACTTTGCTTCAGGCCTCCAAACGAAGTTCAGAACTGGAGATGTCCACCACCCTTCTGCGTCCGATGTTTGTCTGACCAATGTTGATTCCTGGCTGTGATGAGCCTGGCGCAGAGATCAATCACCCACAGAGTCTATCCCCGGTGAATTGGCATCCTTACAGAGACACAAACTATGTGGTGAGAAAGGGTGAAATCTGACTACTCTCGGGCTTCTGAAGGTCCCAGATATGGACACATGAGCGGTTTCTGGCATTTGAAAGATTTTTATTACTTTACTAAGTAACAATTTTGTTTGGTAGCCATATTTCTTA